TCTATGTCTCATATGCTTTCTATATAAAAATGTTTAGTTAAAAAAAAAATCATCAAAATGATTACATTATTTCTTGAAGAATATTAGAATAATATTATAGTATTCTAAAATAGAATAGTATAAACAAGTGAAATTAGCCATGTTAAATGTTATCATTAAATTTTTATATATTGTTAAGATTGTATAACATAAAGATGTCATGCACTCTAACAAAAAATGGTGCTAAATTACATAACGCTGTTACATGTACCTAGTTACTCCCCAACACTGAGGTGTTATATAGCACTAAAGGTGGTTCATTGGCTTGTAATCATAGGGGAACCACTTTAAGTGCTAGCACCTCAGTGTTGGCGAGTAACTAGTTACGGCTTTATAACGTTATGTAAGTAAATAACGGTGTTATTTAATTACAAAATAAATGTAATCAGAAAAAATGGAACAAATAGAAGGGCCATACTGGGCTTAACAGGTTCTTTATACAGTAGCGGTACTATATAGCACCTTAACCATCCCAAAGAACTGCTGAAGAACCAATTTTTTTGTGTGTGTGTAGTCTTATTAGACAAACATCAACTTTAGCACTTATCACACAAGCCTCAATAAGGGTGATGAACAAGTAATGACTTTAAGATATGCTCATGACCCAACAAAATGCTGCAACTGACGAAAAATTAAGTCAGCAAAAAGCAAAACAATAATCATATTACAGTAACCACATAAACCATTCATGCTGGGTCCTCAAAGCCATCATTCAACAACATTGTTCAATATGAATCTGTTATATAACATATGGGGGAACACTGATTGTATGTAGATTAAAAATTACTTAGAATTTGTGGCTCAAAAAGTCCAGTATAAAGTGTAATTAACAGGGGTTTTGCCATGTATTCTCAAGAATTAAGAAATATCCTACAGCGAAGCATACACTAAAAGTTTATTTTATCTTTAGTCGTGTTTTCAAAGACATCCATCATTAGCAGCTAATAAATTTAATTTCATGCACATAAATTCTTTTTGATTCTCATGTCTTTGACTGTGGCATTACATTAAAGATGAAAAACTCCAAATACGCAGTTTGCTGCCATTAGCCTTTTCATGGTGGTGTGGTGGATGGCATCTTTTCCATTATTAATGCCGTAATACCACTAACTGTCAGTAAATAGCTATGTCAGCAGTGAAACGAAATGCAGGAGAGTGGATATTAATGTATTCGTCAGTGCCTCGGTGTGGTTACGGACACATTATGGCCTTTGCCATAAAATCAGGGCAATAAGACTGTACTTATTGAAGAGATAAGTCAGATGACAGGTTTTCTGAAGCAATACGGTGACGGTAATTGGCTTTTCGGTTTAGATATCCTTTAAAGTCGGTGCAACTGCTTTAATATTAATGTAAAATCAACAGCGCTTTTTGGAAAAGAAAAGAAGACTTGCAGAGATGTGCGGTGCACAGAAGGGTAAAAGCAGAATTTGTGTGAGGGCAATGCGAGTTCACTTCTCATTACTTTGGCGTGAGACATAAATCAAGTCAGATTACGATTTAAAAACTAAAATTTTACATTTTTCTGAAGAAAATATGAGTGCTGCTTGCCTGTGTAACAGTCACCGACTTAATGCTTGGGTGTAATGGATGTCAAAAGCCACAAGTTTTTTAGTTTTTTTCCCTTTGGAATAACATACGAGACTAGACACATGCTAGGGTCTGTTTTAATTTGATGTTAAGTTTAGAGGCATTTTTAACCCAAAAATGATAATTCTGTCATATTTAGTCATGTCGTTTCAAACATGTATGGTTTTCTTTCATCTGTGGAACAAAAGAATTATAGTATTTTAATTTCCTTAGTTTTTCCAGATGTGTAAGGTTCTTTTTCACTGTGACGTTTCTGGCAATAACGAGCTACATGATGTCTAAAATTTCTTTGTGTGATATTTCTGTTTACTATTACTTCAAAAAATAAATAAATAAATAAACAAAAATCTCCTCCATTAAAAAAGCTCTATAAACATTCCACATTATAGAACAATTTTTGTTAAATAAATGTATTTCTTTTGACTTGTTTTTGTTCTCTAATATTGTATTGTTGTTGAATTTTTGAAAATACATAAAATTAAACAAAAAATATAATTGACTCTTGTTATTCTAGTATTTTAATATTGTATGGTTTGTATTGCACAGAACGTGGAATGACATGAACACACAAAAAAAAGAATGAAAAACTTTCATATTTTTGGGTGAAATATCATTTGACTTTATTGACTTGATTTATAGTTTATTGAAATCCCTAGTGATGCTTGCCATAACTAATGCCAATAAACATATTATATAGCTGTGTTATAGATTAAGTGGAATGGCAAACACATTTGGTGTTTGTTTGTGTGTATAAGTTAGAGATAGAAAGAGAGAGAGAGGGGAACGTGTCAAATGGATAAATGTCAGTGGGCGCTTCATCGACAGCAGGCCCTCCCCTCCCTGTTGAAATACCATGTGTAAATCGTAGTTCCACGGCCGACAGCCAGCCTCCCAGAGCAGAATAATGAGATTACAGCACTCGCTGCCACTGTGGATGCATAGTGGTGGGCTGGGTAGGCACACATAAACCTAGCTTACACAAAGAGAGCAAATCAGCTACATTTTGCTGAACACACGCTAAAGGAAAAAGCAGGCTTTACACTGAGGCAGATTACAATTACCTCACTTTCCAACTGTCTTTCACAGTCGGTCACTCTTCAAGTTACGTTATCTCTCCAGTCTCTCGCTCAAATCGAACTGTCTCCAAACCACTCATTTCCACATATTTGCATAACATGCAGTTAACATGCACAGTTGATTTAGCAGAGATGAGAGTTTGCTCAGATAACAGGGGGACAAATTTCACACACTCTCTTAAAAAAAAATCAGAGCTCCAGGTAGAAATTAAAAGGGTCAAAATGTCATCAAGCTCATTGTCTCAATCTAATTTATTCCTAAATGCATTAAAAATGCAATTTATACAGACGATGAATTCATTTGTGTGTGTGTGTGTGTGTGTGTGTGTGTGTGTGTGTGTGTGTGTGTACAGACATATGTTTAGCTGGTGAAACTTTCAGAAGAAAGTAAAAAAGTATGATTCAAAGACTAAAGAAAAAAGGTGAAAATTCTAAAGAAAAAGGTTACACAAATAAAAATGTATATTTTAAATAAAAAAGATTTGTTTAAAAAAAGAAAACAGAAAATGATAACACATACATAGCAGACCCTTGTAGACTTTGATGACTGTGTGTCAAGGTCAGTAAGTACATTTTTATGACATTTACATTTTATTGACATTTAAGTTCAGTTTGCCAAATAAGAAAGGGTACTTTCTTAGAAAACCAAGAAAACTTAACGAAATGCATGCTTAAAAAATGCTAAAAAAATAAATTGTTTAAAAAAATAACTTGATGGTAATACTTGAAATGGTTATAGGCATATATTCTTTATGCAAATTTTGTATATAAATGTTTTTTTTTTTTAAACATAGGAATCAACATGAATACAAACAATTAATTTACAATATTTCCGCATTATGCTATTTTTCATTTTTTCATTAAAAACTTTATTTGTTATTAAGTTTGTTGCAGCCTGACCTTCTTACGATTTTTTGTATCATTTAATTCTTTTTAAAATCAATACTCGGTGAAGCACCAAGATGCTGATCTGAAGAACCTATCAAGAAACAACTTTTATAATCTCCAAAGAACCATATGCCAACTCGCATCCATATAGGTCAGTCAAACTGACGCGTGAGAGGACGCTCATAACTACTAAAACCTCAAGACCTCACTTTTGATGGAACAATCCCTCTGTCCCCCAGCCTTCTGTTTTAATAGCACAGAGGAAAATCCCAGCGTCTCAGACCATCTTGGATGAAAACTGTTAGAGAGGAGAGAAACACATTCGTTCTTTACCTCCTCCGTCTCCAGAGTGTTTTTTAAGGTCACTCTTAGATTCACCGGTGAATTCATGAATTCATTCATACCTCGGTCCTTCCATCTACAGAGCAGGTACCAGATGAAAGAAATAACACAAGCTCACCAAGAGCCAAAGTATCATCTGGTGAAGAATATGAATAATTCAAATCAAATGAGCCATAACAACTAAAGCCTATTCCATGATCCCCCCCCCACTCTTTTCTTTCCAGCTGAAACGAACCAGCGAACAGATTTGGTCAAGATTTTCCTTTCAGAGCCTCTCACAGTTTATAGGTTCCACTTATCTAATTACATGCATGACACAAGGTCAGGGATGTTGTGAGATGGCTGAGGAGTACTTATAGTTCAGAGAGGTACTCAAGCTTATATGCCATCTGATTTCCATGTAAATAACACGCGAGTTAAGCGGCACATAGCAAATCAAAAGTCAGGGTTACAGTGCATGATAGACAAGTAAACAGACAGCTAGATATACAGCTAGATAACGACAGATAGACAGACAGACAAGACAAGACAAGACAAGACAAGACAAGACAGAGCAAATACATCAAATGAAATATGAATTTCATAAGCAAACCTTTTTTCACTATGACAGTAAAAGTGACAGCCGTTTTAACCGTGCTATCGCGAGCACGGTTTTATGTCAGCATTTGCTTTGTTTTTACATTTAAAGTGTCGTGTGTCTTTAAATGTGTATTTTTACCACTGTAGTCTGTTGAGCAGACCCAAACCACCACGTTGAAGCTCTCTGGACGCTCTAGCTTCGAATGAGGCTCGAACGCTGATTCGCATGTTATATAGGGGTCTAAAAATAGCTCCGCTTTCAAAGGCATGTATGTTGTGAGTGACAATTCAGAGAAGCAATCGGAGATCCACTACAGCTTCGAACTCCTCCCACTATGCGAGTTTAGCCCCGCCTTCCTGAATCACCAGCAAAGTTGTCGTCCCTTTTTTCCTTATATGGTTACGCACGATGTTGATTGACAGAAAAACACGCCCCCTCGATTCGCGGGCATCCGCAGACGCTACGCTGGCTCCACACACTGACTGACACAGTAACCCGTGCGCTACTGGTGCTCCTGCTGCTCCCCTTCCAGAAACATTGCGAGGAAAGAAAACAAACCTGCGTGGATGGATCCTTTACTTCTAAACACATTTTAGTATCCATAGTGAACTGAAACGTTTCGGATTTCGCGATTGATCTGAATGTTTCAGTCGCTCGCGCTGAAGCGAACGCGGATTCCTCGCGCAGAGAATCAAAGTCTCTCAAACGCACCGTTTAGCTGCACAAACATGGATGTTCTGGCCAATTACAGTATTTTTCAAGAACTTCAACTTGTTCATGACACTGGCTACTTCTCCGCGATGCCGTCTCTGGAGGAAAACTGGCAGCAGGTGAATTGCTTTTATCTCTGTTTTTGCAATTTATCCAACTTTTTTTCCCGCTTGTCAGTGCGCTCCTGCATGTGCGCGCAACTTATAAAGACGCGTCAAACAATATTTATTGCAACTCTGCATACTATTGCATATGCATTTAAAAATACCATGTGGTAGGTAGAAATGTGTTGATGTTTTAATGCCATACCGCATATTTCTTGCGACCAAGTGCAATGTAGCTAAACATGCTGGGAAATTAAGATCTGAATAATACAAACAGAGGCTCTTTGAATAATAGATCTACATCTGGCCTATCAGTGTTTTTCAGTCCCATCGGCATTGCACAGACTCTCGACTCTACTGCATTATATATAAATGCACGCGCGTGATTGACTCGTGATGTGTCTGGCAGTTAAACGTGCATGACAGAAGTATACAGTGCGCACATCTATGCAACTGTGAAGAGTCTTATGTATAATCAACTCATTTTCATGTAAATGCCACTTTTTCCCCATCCACTAGGATGGAGCCATGCGGCGCGTGGACAAAGCACACTGACATCCACATGGACGCTGGTTTATGCACCGACGTGCATTCATAACGATTTGAGATTTATGAAATCCATTTAGAGAACAGAATTGGTTTGCACCGTGCACATGTGAGTAACGACTGTGGTGCGTCGCGGGCGCATGGATGGAGGCATGCTTTGCGCAGAGTTGAGCTCTCCGCAGTGCTGAAGGGGCAACGCGTGGTCCATCCATTGATGCCGGTGCATTGCCTTCTCAACGTGCATTGATTTTTAGATTGCTCGGCCAGTTTTCTTAACCTATGGGTTGTGATTGCACTGCCATGCATTTTTCTCAATAAGTGAAAGCATGTGCATGCAATGGTGGCTGCTTTGGCACCATGGTTTTTTGGTTGGATTATTTGGTCATTATGCCTCTAACCTTGAGTTTTGATAGATGGTCATGCAGTATTGGTCATTTTGAAAATTGATATATGCAAGAGTGTCTAAAATGTAATGTTCTCATTCATATGCACATGCATAAAATAATTACAATGTACTTTTAAAAATCCACTTATCAGGACCATTAAGCGAAATGCAAAGAAGCTGAAGGTTATTAAAACTGTTGAATGGTAACCATTTACAGAAACTAAAATGTGCAATTAAAAATTATTTAAATTTCTCATCTAGAAGAGAGTTCAAATATATGACTGCGATGTGTAGTGGTAAGTGTGTTTATCAGAGCTTGAAAGCCAGTGTTTGGCTTTGCTATTAACTTTCAATGGTTTGTATGAATAAGAAATGCTCAAAGACTGACATTTGACCTCAATAGAGCTCCTGTGCCCTTGGTGCTCTATAGTGCTAAGTGATCCTAAAGGCCAGACTTCTTCCTCCAGAGCAGCGAATATTGCTCACAAACCGTGCAATCTCTAGTAAGTGGAAAGAAATAGGCCAGAACAGTATTCTTCCAAGCTTTGATAGGCCTACAAGACTTCTTATTCTCTAGACGTTGCAGCTTTTCACCTCAGGTTAAGCTTCTGGTTGTGTTTAGAACTGACTGAATGCGGATGGCGATGCTGTGTGAGACTGTGTGTAAAAACATCCTGACTTTAGCTAAGCAAAATGTCAGTCATCATATTGACACGTTGCACTTGAAGACCTCGGAGGCCATTTCAGGTCATAAATATGATATTACTTGAAAAATCCAATTCAGTTTTTTTATATGCGCAGCTCAAGTATCCAGCTATGTCAAACGAGAATCTATTGAAAAGTGTTGAGGAGGGATTATGTAGTCGCAAGATTCAATATAGAACAAAAGTTTCTTGCCTGAAGCCACTCCATCAACCATCACATGCCCTATAGCCATGACAGAGGATATCCCAAAAAAAAATCTCAGCTTGAAGAGACTGTCAGTGTGACTCACCTACTCCTGTGGAGAAGGGTAACTGCAATATTGGAACAGAGAATAGAATGGCGTCTGTTCCCATTGAAACTGAATGACCATTCTGGAACACATGGGGTACAGTGGCACATCAGACTATTCTGAAGTACGTTTGTCTCATAACATCTATTTTGGGTCTTAGGGGAACTTGAAATGTCTTTTGTTCTCATTGCTTTCATTTCAACTGTCTGATATTTTTAGACTTGGTATTGAAATCTTGCTTGCAGCTGCAATAACATGTTGTGGCGCATGCGGGACAAGAAAAATAATGCCTTTATGAGATGTTTCCCACTGGTTAACCATAATAATAAGAATTAGAGGTGGATGATATGACCAGAATCTTGTAAAGCAATTAAATACTAAATAACATAAAAATAAAAAAAAACAGGATGATTACTAGTGTGATACTGCTTTTATACAGCAGTTCAGTGAATAAGAATTTAATAATGAGTTACATTTTAGACATAATATTGACAGTGTTTTATTTTTTGTCAGACAAAAATTGTTTGAAACAAAGCCACTGCAGAACAGTTGCAACACACAGTAGTGACGTTACTGAATTATTCAGTGTTTTTGAACAAATCAGTTGAGTGAATGATTCATTGACTCACTCATAAAGACAATCACTTGTTTCGCTCCTGAATGAATCAAGAGCTTTTGAACAAGTTGTTAGAGTGAATGATTCATTGACTCACTCATAAAGACAATCACTTGCTTCGCTCCTGACCGGATCTGTTTTTAAAAGAATCAGTTGAATGACTCACTCATACAGTCGCTTGTCACCATCTACTGGTGAATCAATGTAACCAGCAGAAATAATCACTGAAAATGTTCAATACTAAAACAAAAACTGACTATTAAAGCAAATATTTGTATTTCTTTCAATTGTTTTAATTAATTTTGTGGAAACTTCTATTTTTGCAAAATCCAGTAAATTAAATAGCCTACTTTATTTTAAAAAAAAAACTGATTGATGCTAATCAAAAGATAAGATCATTCATGATAATTCTGACATCAGTGCAGAAACTCTTTCTCAAACAGTACACTCAAAGCAGTGAGTTTTAATTGCTCTGTTATGTCCCATTCTGTATTTTCTTAATCACATAATGTTAAATAGTCCTGCCCACTATTAGCACACCATTGCACATTACCCAGCTCTAATAAGTAGCATTGCTTTATGAGATTAAGGGAAAATGTTAATGGATGTAGATATCAAAAATAGTACTTTTCCCACAGCATGAGGTTTCAGTCATTAAGCGCATTCAGCGCTAGTTAATGGTGCTTCCCAGCTGTTCTTACACGATTTGTCATATGGCAAGCAATGAACTACTAATAAGCATTAGAAGTCTGACTGACAAGTGCAAAAGGAAATTTACACTTATAGTTCTTTGAAAGGTCTTACTACATTTAATTTATGTGTTAATACTATAATCACAGAGAGGATGTTTGACCCCTTCATTTTAAGAGGTTCTTGTATTTCCACGTCAGATTGTAATCAGGATGTGGTTAAGATTTTTTTTTTGTAGTTTTGAATCTTTGCACGCTCTGATCCACCACAGACGTTTTTTCTCTTGCAGCCTCAGGCCAGGGCATACTCTGTAACTGATACTGTAATGACTCTCCAAAGAGCCTAATGCACTGTGCTACGGCAGCACATTGTGTGTTTCACAGTGTCAACTACTTACAGGAAAGTCATTACGTTGCTTTCTTGACTAAATGCCCCAAAGGAAAAGTTGGGAGAAAAGTCTAAGAATAAACCAACCCTGTTTAACCCATACCTCCCAAAATGATTTTTCGAAGTTGTAAATAACGAGTATTGTAGTGTGTTTTACAAGAAGATATTTAGTTGTATTCAATATAGGCTATATTCAATATTCTATTTCAGTTTTTCTGTGTTAATAATTGTGTTAATTGCTAATTGTTAATTTACTAACAATTTCTCAGTGAAAATTGCTTCCATTGTGTTTTCTCAGTTTAGCCAAACTTTGATGCAAAGCCAAAAGAAAAACGACCAAAAAAAAAAGTAACTTGGACTTTTTTGTGCTCTGCCAACAAAAATAGTTAGAAACAAGCCACTGCAGAACCATTGCAACACACTATAGTGGCATTATTGAATCAGTCTGTTTTATTGAATGAATCGGATGAGTAAATGATTCAGTGACTCATACATGAAGTCATATGTTTTTTCAAAGTTGTAAATAATTGGAGTAGCTTTTACAATAAAATAATATTTCAGTTATTTTACGTAAAAATTTTGTTGTTTAATTCGGTGTGTTACTTGCTGTTTCTTTGTAAAATTTACTAGCAATCTCTGAGTGAAAAATGTTTCTGCACATAATTTTTTTCACTGTAGGCAAACCTCGATGCAAAACGACCAAAAACATGCCACATTTCTCGTTCCCCCTCTGAAATCTATCCAATGTCACAGCCTCATGTCCCAAACTGCAGACCGGCTCCTGTAGTTGCATGCTTATGAGGATTGACAGGAGGCATTGAGCAAAAGTGCCAAGCATGCATATTCCGTGCTGCAGTCTCTGCCAATCTGAAACCCTGGCTGCCGAGAATCCGGAAAGAAAAAGAGACCGAAAAGATGAAACCATATTTCCATATACTTCCCTATTCTTGGTTGCATCGAAACTGAGTTTTGCATGCCGCAAAACCATCTTCAACTCAAGCTCGAGCCAGTCCAGGCAGTGGCCGCAAGCTCTCACATATCCACCTCCTCGTTTAGGCCCATGGATCTGAGCGGATTCCCATTACCGTAGGCGATGACTGCTGAAATGTGTGTTATGTAATTCTCTCAGCGCCACAGCTACCTTCTTACAGTGTGCGATTCGGCCCGCCGGAGAGAGCCAAACCCAGCCACATCACCGTGAAATCTTAAAGAGGTTTCCGGATCACACGGCTCCGTGGGCCACGTCTTCATGCTGGGAGTCAGACCATATGGATCATTTAGTAAAATACACAGAGTTCTTCCTCTTAAGAATAATTTATGGACTAGTTGTTTAGTGCATGTGACTCGCTTGGAGAAGAAATTGAGTCTGGCTGTCCTCTGGCTGACTTGTTTTCAAT